GGCAATCTCAGCTCCCAATCCTGTGTCTTGGCCACAAGACCACCCTTTCTCCATCTTGATGTTGATGTTACATCACCAGTATAGTTCAGTTTGAAAGGTCAGATAGAGCAGTAGTCAACAATCTGTAACATCTAAGGATTCAAGTGATTGGTGTGTGTGCGTGTATGTGTGTGAGAGAGAGAACGGAACAAGGCTTACATTTAACCCTACTTATTTGAGGTTATTCATCAAATCATATTCAAGTTGCTTGATTCTTCAGTTTTATATTTTCAGGTGATTTTTGTCTACAGTGCTAATACATATAATAATATAATGTTTTATGGCTCTCATAAGCACGAAGTGTACCAAATACTATGTCCAAGGTAAGTTAATTAACATTCTTTTTGTAATCCCTCCCTAAAAACATTGTACACTTCTAGAGAAATACTCAGTATCTAATTGTGTATCTATGTCCAAGGCACAGTCTTAAGTTAGAGGTTCTGGGAAAGCTCTGAGAGAAAATCTCTCCCAGAACTACCCAGTGCATGCACAGGGACTCATACTTCACCAGTTCTTAACATAGTGGTGTGTGCTCCCTTCTCTGTAGCTGGCCAGCTCTGCAGAGCAGTGGGGGTCATAACCCCTCTTTCTCCTTCTCATGGGTCTGGTTCTTTCCCCTGAATACAGTGACTACAGTTCTGTCTGCAGCATCTAAGGAAGGACTCTTGTGTGCCACCCTTCACAGCCCCTTTGGCTCTCCTGCAGACATGCAAAGCTAGGCTTTCTTTCTAGCCTGTATTATTAGGAATTATATGTGCTTATAGTAATTTTATGAGCTTCCCCCTCATTTCCATATTCCCTCATTGGCATTTGAGTCATTGTTCTAAAGCTTGTAAGTGACAAAAATCAGTATGAGTGACAAAACATAAATAATTGTATGAATTATTTCACATTTTTTTGGCTTTTCCTCGGTGTTTGTTCCACAATCAGCATTGTGAAACTGAGGTGAAGCAAAGTCCAAATTGACAGGTAGCCCTTACTCATACAAATAATCCCATCGACTTTAGTGGGACTTTTTTGTGTGAGAAAGGGCTAAAGGGTGAGACCCTGGAACAATTAATAGATTTTTACATAGAAACGTTGCCAAAAATTTGTATTTAGTCAACAGTACATGAGGACTGTACCAGACAATCAAACAGTAGCATACAATGCATTTCTTTGGTTGAAATTAGTGATTTTAGTAAGAAAAGGTTGTACACATGCCTGTAACATTCAATTAGAAATAGGCACAGTAAAAGTTAAAACTCATGTAAGACAGTAAGCTTAATTACTGATCATTGAATATTCTGAGTTTTGCTGGTTTGTCTTAAAAGTGTAGTGTTTTTAAAGTTTTCTCATTTATATTACTTTTTAAAGTCTTTTGTGCAAGGTGAAAAATGTATATGATATACTTTTTGAATTTTCTTCATTTGCATTTATCTTTTATAATACAATTAACTGCTTCTGCCATGTTGGAATGGCTACTTTGTGATCTTTATTATGTGCATATTTGTAACCTGTGTTAAGTGCATGTTTATGCATTTTTTTTTAAAAAGTGCATTATTTAATACCCTGCAATTGCTAATAGCATGCACAGTATTACATGTACATCGATATGCAATACTGTACAGTAACATAATGTGTAGTATTAAACCACTCTGGCTGTGTCTACACTGGCATGAATTTCCGGAACTGCTTAAAACGGAATACTATTCCGTTTTCAGTTTTTCCGGAAAAGGAGCGTCTACATTGGCAGGCTGCTTTTCCGGAAAAGCCCTTTTCCTGGAAAAGCGTCTGTGGCCAATGTAGACTCGCTTTTCCGGAAAAGAGCCCAGATCGTCATTTTCGTGATCGGGGCTTTTTTCCGGAAAAGACTACTGGGCTGTCTACACTGGCCCTTTTTCGGAACAGTGTTCCGGAATAAGGACTTATGCCCGAGCGGGAGCAGAATAGTTTTTCCGGAATAGCGGCTGATTTTGTACAGTAGAGCATCGTTGCTTTTCCGGAAATTCAAGGGCCAGTGTAGACAGCTCGCAGCTTATTCCGGAAAAGTGGCTGATTTTCCGGAATAAGTGGCCCAATGTAGACACAGCTTCTATGTATATAGTAGAAGATCTTATTAAAAGTAATTATATATGTCTAATGTTAGTACTCTTCCTCTCTAATTGCCTACTAATGGTTTTTATCTGCCTCTTTTGTCTGTCCAGTCTATAGTTGCTTATAGACTATTTGTTTTTCCTTTTACATTCCAGCTCAGCTTTTCCCTTGATATTTTTATACCCACTACCTCTTCTTGTTCCCTCCTCCCATGTTTTTCCTTCTCTCCCCCCACTTCCTTCTCCCCTATTTATTTTAGTTCTGGACATCCAACACTCTAATCATCTGAAGAAGTGGGCTGAGCCCACGAAAGCTCATGATACCATCTACATGTTTTTAAATGTATATATGTGTAGTTATCTTGCCAGTTTTACTTACTTTTATTTTGAAAATGCTAACTATATGACTGTGTTATGTATCATTAATGCAGGACTAAAAATGTGTACTGGATACTTATTGGTACCAGTCAGTACCAATTGTTAGATTGGTACTAAATCAAAAATCAGAAGTTAAATGTGAAAGATGGGGACAGGGAAGAATGGATGAAAGATGGGACTCACTGATATAGCTGGGTATTAGAAATGAGAGGGTGTGGAGAGTCATACAAAGATGCTTTATATAGTCGCCAGTCAATAGGAATAATAAGTTTCATCCCTTTATAGCTTCTGAAAGGGAAAAGGGAGGTTTTTGTCCCTTCTCTACTTTTTCAGAGCATTGTGGCTTGATGATTGGATCTGTGATACTTTACCTCTCCCTCAGCCTCCATTTCCTCTGTCCCTTATTCCCTTACCCCTATGAAAATTGTAGAATCTAATTCTGCTGTTAATAGTTTTGACACACCAATATGATACTGACTATGTTACTGATTATTTCACAGTTAGTCATAAGACTTTGAACTGCAGAAGTTCAATTCTGCAGAGGTTTGTTAATTTCACTTTGCTATTATTTGACAGAGTGATGAGCAGTGGCATAGGTATTGAAATTGTCTGCCTGCAGACCCAGCAGGACACACTGCATCAGTTAACTCTGCTAATGTCAACTAATGGGAATATTCACAACCTAGAAAACAGAAATTTACTTTATTTTTAAATGAAAGCTGTAGATACAAATGGCTTAAGTTCTTCTGCTCGTCTGAGAAAAATGTTTTACTCTCACCTGGAAAGTGGATGAGTAGATTTTCCTAGCACTGCATTAGTAACAATAATAGACTACATTTATTATTTCAGTAAACAAAACTAAGATATAGAAATAACCTGATTTAAGTTTTGTTTCAAAATTTAGATATATAGTCTGTCCAGTTTAAAATACAAAAATCTCATTGTTGAAAAAAATTTGCTACCTAATACCTAAAATTAAAGACATTGATTCTTTAAAGAGATAAATGTGTTTTTATATGTCAGATGTCCCAAATAGTAAGGACTGGAGGAGCATTCAACAAATAATTAAATTTAGCAAATATTTTCTTCCCTATTTTAGGTATTCTGAAATTGCTTCGACTCATTGTCAACTAATGTAAAATCACGGCTACCACTGAATCCTGCTAGAGCCTGGAGCTGATGTATAAGGGCTCAAGTACATGACTTTCATTATATGTCATGATTGTATACTTTTTTTTTTGCAAGCCATACTGTTAAATAATAATAATTCCTGCCACTTACTGGCACAACTCTTGACCAGAATCACAGTAGGTATGATGTTACTGCAGATCAGCAGACCGCTGACACAAATTTTAGGAGTCTAAAAAGGGGAAGGGTAGGAGAGGTTAATTTGAGATGAGTCATGTGCTGAATGTTCCATTTATGTTTATTTAACTAATTTCCACAAGAAAAAAAGTAACTCTTTTAATAAATAAAGTTGGTATTTTTTTTTAGAAAAAATCACCAGAGTATTATCTTGCATGAACTACAAACATTGTATATGTAAACATAGAAGTAATTAATAATTACACACACTGTACGTATGGAAATATATATTTGAGTCGCTTTATGAATTATCACAATTTGGCTTTCTTTTGTGTATACATCACAGGCCTGATTCTAAATTTGAGTGTATTTTTTTACATTTAAAACAAATTAGACTATTTATGAGAGTAAGGATTTATATGTGTAATACAGAAAGTATGCATATTTTAAACACTAGTGCCTTCACACAAAATATTTTTTGTTGACATTTGTTTATTTTCTCTGGGAGAATGACAGATCTGCAACACAACATAATACCAATCCAAAGGCCAGAGTTTCAGAGCAGACTGGATTTCAGGTAAATAGAAACTGATTCCATAATGACAGTGATGGCCACACACTTCCTGTTTCAGCTTTTGAAAGATCTCCCCATCAGCTAACTCATTAAACCACTTCTTGTTTCCAGACACTGACAACTTTGGAGTTTACTTTACACTGCTACCATTCAGACTTCTTACAAAGACAGAATGAACTGTTCTAGTCCCAGATTTTCTGCTGCACCAAAACTCATGTAGCAGAATTGGGGAACCATCCAGTAGGTAATTATAGATAGCTCTCTCTGCCCAGCTCTGTCTCTGGCACAAGTTAGAGCACCTTATGGGCAGCTCTAATTTATCTAAGCTGACACTGATCCCCAGTGGACTGTCCAGTGTCTATCAGCTGAAGAAAGCAGGAGTGCAGTGATCTTTAGGCATAGTTCCTAAAGCTGTGTTGTAAAAGTAGCCTATAATGGCTCTTTGCCTGCTGGGACTTACTCACATCAAGGGAATCCTCAGCCAGTGAGATAAGGGGCAGTGTTCATCATTGTGTCCTAATTCTCACCTGTTTTTATATAAAATCAGAAATTATAAAAGCCTTGAGAAAGTGCACATAAACCTTCTTACGAAGTTATTTTAAAAAGAAAATAACAATAATTTACCTAATTAAGTACATGCTGAAAAACATAGTTAAGTTTGTGTAGTGTCATTGAGAGCATATTACTATTATCAGTATACCATAATCTGAAAAGGTATATGTACTCCTGTTCAGTAAAACATTTTGAACCAACAAATCTTATGAAAATGTAACCTCACTAAGAATATCTAATATTTGAAATCCTAAATGTGAAATGCTAGCTTTCTTGTCTAGAGGAAATAGAGCAAAGATACAATATAACAGAGAGAGCTAGCAGGACAAAGGAGATATTATTGACTCATTCCAGAGTGCCAATTTAGCAGCTCAAACTTAGTTTCCTTTTTACTTTTGTAACAGTAGGAAACTCAAAGCTTTTCTGTTTATTTTTTGAGCAAATAGAAACACCCAGTCTTCAAAAAGTAATGCACTACTTTGAAGAAACTAAAACCATCAACAAGTTAAAAACTATGCACCACTTAACTGAAGTCCATGATTCTTACAGTTCCCATTGGGTAAATGTTTATTATTTAGTTGTATTTTAGCTTACTGTGCTAGAGGAAAAAAAGTCCCTCCCCACCAAATATCACTGTCTGTAAAACACTTTTTGTTGTTTTTAGTGTGATATGGATTTATTGACTTTGCAGTGGGTAAGTACTACTTCAGTATTTTGACAAATTTAATAAATTAAAACATCTCTAGTATATACTGCAATGTTATGGTAATCTTGTTATGTTAAAATGATAAAATATGAAAAAATGATATAGGATGTAAGATTTTATTTTTGGACACTGTTCAGACATGCTTTTCTATTATTTTAAATGTTTATTTTATTCATGGATTAACTTTTGAACCTAAGGTGTATCATTTATTGTCCTCTGGTCATGAACCTACTATAACTGGTCAGTAAATGTCATTGTTCCTATCATTTGTATAATAATACATTATCAAAATATATTCCTAGAAATTTTGCAACAGTAGGATGGTTTTCTGTGTTTTCTACCTTGTTCATATAAAATATCTGAGACAGCAGGTGTAGTTGTTCTGTGTCCAGAAATAAAACTTAAATATTTTATGACAAATTACTTCCTGAACATACAGTATTTGTTTAAATCCTCCTGTGTAAATTAATCATAATTAGATAAAGCACCCAAAAATGATATTAACTGTGATTAAAGTAAACATTTCAAATATTAGAAATCTAGTTTTACAGCAGAGCTACTTTACAGTAAGCAATACTTTTAAATCTGGAGGCAAAACAAATGGATTTTGTACTTGTTTATTACTAATTCTTGAACTGTAGCAGTACACCTTCTGGAGCCTTTGGAATCCACCTCCCGTGATTCATATTTTCTTTAACATATTACCAAAAGACAAACATGTTGGGAGCTATCAGAATATATAATAATTATTAAGATTTGTGCAAAGCCTGAGTGGCTAGGTTTCTTTTTCTTCTTGTAACAGAAGTAAGCTAAACAAGCCGAACTATCATGTTATGAAAAGCTCCACTTATCTTAGATTTTGCTGTTTAGAATGTCTGAAATTAGATCTTTTAAAAATCATGTTCCAGACTATGAAAATGCAGAAAAACAAAGCCCTGTTAGAAACATCTCCTCCCCCCATTTCCAGAAATACAGA